ACGTGATCATATTTGAGCCATCTACTTCCGAGCATGTTTCGTGCCGCACCATCTTTGATCCCATTACCGCTCTAGCCCCCGCTACGGATTGTCGAACATATGCTATTGGGTATGTACACTGCGCCTAGTGGTTATGGCAGTTGAATGATCTAACTTATTGGCGTAGTTACCAAAATGGCTCGATTATGCTCGCAACACTGCACCCAACCTTCAGTATATTACATACCATGTCCACTTCGCGAGGACCATCGGCGATAATCTCGTTAGCGTGGCATGCGTCCTCATCTAAGCAGAAGTCAGATATGCTAGCCACTTTGGCGGCCAATGGTGATTTGAGAGTTTGGAGTGTAGCAAAACCGCCGCAGAAAGAAGCCCCACGCGTTATCAGAGTGCTCAAGAGGTCTGATGGCTCCCCAGCCACTGAACCGAAGTGGATGGCTTGGTCTAAGAATGGTAGGATTGTGCAGTACCTTGAAGGGTAAGCAGGCGCCCGCCATCCTCCCTCGAGTTGCGAGGCTAAACTCCGTCAACAGTGAGACGTGGGCTTGGGATGTCAGGACAAAGCACGTCACGTATGAGCCCATCCCCACCATCGACAACCCACGTGGCTTTGCCAACTATGGACCGACCGCCACACTATTCACTCTTGGTCCTCAATACACTGTCCAGCAGTACGATATAGACAGCCCTGCCATGGTCGCGAATGTGCAACATGCCCCCGCTGGAGCTTTGCCACCACCCACAGAGCAACCGAGATTACGCACCTTACAGGAACCGCCAAACATGAGGGAGTCTGGTGCGATGTTTGGCTCTCGAAGGACCCCGTTCGACACGAATGGAATCGAAGCTGTACGTCAGCAGCGTGCCGATGTCGCGAGCCCTGTGAATAGGAGTCATGCCAATTCAGTTACGAACTCCGTTAGCTCGAAGGCTTCCTCGGGAATGCACAAGATCCCGTTCTCACCACCCAGTAGGTCCGGTCAGACCACCACATCATTCTCGTTAACTTCAGCATCTGGGAGAGAAACGCCCCAGCCATCCGGGGCTTCCTATGCCTACGCCTCGTCTGTTTCAATGTCGTCAACAAAAAGCTCCCGCGCCGGTTCACGGCTGAGGAATGAGGTGCAGCTTAGTCCTGCCGAGAAGCCAGTAGATCTATTCCCTTTTACGCGTGCACGCCTCAATGATGTGCCTTATGGACACCATCAACCCCTTGACGAGTCCCGCCTCACGCCGGATGATCTACGCCAACAGATGCTGAGCGTTGTATTCGGCTTCGATGGAGATATTGAAGGTTTGATTAGGGATGAATGTATGTTCCATTCTGCACCTACTAGATACGCTCTTCCAAATTTGCTGATTCCGTGATTAGTGAGCAACCATCCAGAAGCCAGTCAAAGTGCCATTCTACTTGCTCAATGGATTGGCGAATGCGATACAGACTATATGCTTTCCATGATAACATCGGGACCAGCTTCAATCACTGACTGGATGCTCCTGGCATTCAGTCAGATGTCTGGAGAATCACAGTCGAACAAGGTCGGCCAAGCTTTGGTCCAGAAGCTGCTGGAGATTGGAGATGTCCATACAGCAGCCACCATACTTCTAGGATTGGGAGACCGAAACGATGCCATCGAAGTCTATGTCTCCCAGAATTATTATATGGAAGCCATTCTGATGACATGCCTTGTGATGCCTACGGACTGGCAGCGACAATCGTATTTGGTTCGCCGATGGGGGGAGCATGTTGTGTCTCACTCTCAGCAGCAGCTTGCGATTCGGTGTTTCATGTGCACGGGTGCAGAGCCCTCCGAGCCATGGACGTCTCCAGCTGCGCAACAGGCTACATCTTTCGCGGAAGCTATCACAAGAAGGTCTCCAATGACATCCCCGGAACCTTATTCAATCCCAGCGAGCCTTATGGCTCCTAATTCCCACCCACGACCAGCTGTCAATGGCAGACCGGTATCGAAGACGCCAGCGCTGAAGCTCATTACTTCATTTGACTCTCAACCAAACAATCGATTCAAGTTCCCCGGGCTGAAGTCAGATGACAGAACTCCAACAAATGCGCCCGGGGTTACACCGATCGCGGAATCTGCGGTTGTCGAATCTGCATTGTCTCCGGGTGGGTTTGGGTCGTACAAGCTAAACAATATCCAGAGCATAAATAACGCCATGAATACACGTACAACCACGCCCGCCTTCAACAGACGGCGTCTTCCGTCTATCGGGGAGACTCCGATTGACGTACACCCTCCTACATTTCCCTCCACGGGATATAATAAACAAGTTCTAGACTATGGATCAACGTCAGAAAATGACGAGAGTCAGCCATCAGAGCAGAAAGGGGAGGAAGCAGATGACGAGCAGCTTGGTTTGCTCTCATCTGCCCGCTATGACCCTGAAGAGTACAAGCCCAGTCCTCAGACCGCAGTCCAAGCGACAGCGGATACCTTCGCCACCATCAAGGGTCTTCCTTCTCCGGCTGCTGGGGTTTTTGAGGCTCTAAAGGAGCGTTCAGACAGCCGGAACGGAACCAGAGACCGAAAGCCAGATGGCTTGCAGCTAAATCTTCATCACCGCAACGCGTCGGAGACTGATCTGCACGCCCAATCCGAGATGCTGGCTAACTTCCGCAGTCCAGCGTCAACGTTAAATAGCTTCAGTTCCGCTAGGAGCCCCAGCGTTAGCGGCCGCAGCATTGACCCGTATATCAGTAGCCTAGGCGAGGCAAACTATCACGCGAAGAAGTATCAAGGAAATCGTCCTAACGGAAGAGGAAGAAGGAATACGGATGAGTCGGCCAGTCAGACCTCGGCTCGGAGGTACCGCTCCAGAAACGCATCACAGGAGACGCGCGGGCGAAATGAAAAGAGATACATTCCACCCGCCAAACGTTCTCCCTCTTCTCCTGTCCCAATGTCGCCGGAGGAGCTGGCTCGGATCAATGCCAATGCCGCTAACAAGCCATCATCTCGAACACGCAGCGCTAGCAGGGTGCGCAAACCACGTTCGCGCAACTCCTCTGAACGCCGTCAAAACCGTTCCGCCAGTCGAAACACAGCCAACCATCTTGGTACTGAAAATCAAGGTCCTTCCAGTCGAGGACGCAGCATGGACCGTCAAGAGCCGGACGCCAGATCTCCCTCATCTCCATTGCCAGGATCCAGTGCCGAGGACGCATTGAGACTAGTTGCGAGTGATAGAGAACGGTTGCGGACCCGCCAACGGAGCGGCAGTCGTCGACCTGAAAAGGGTGCAGGTGGGAGGGGGGAAATACCATCTGATGCGAAGTGGACAAGAACTAGGTCTCGTAGCCGTCACGATACCGAGCCGACAGAAAGCGCTCAGCAAGTTGGGCCCGAGTTCTTCAACGGCGGTGCCACCCATGATGGCATCTATGTCGTTGATAACACTCATAGTGACAATAGCATGCTGGCACAGGCAGCTCACGAGGAGCAAACTGCTACCCTTCAAGTTAGTTTTGCGGAACAGCGGAGAAAGGAGCTTGCCGCTGCAGAGCTTGAAGCTCGGCGCCTGTCGCTGGCACGCAATCCATCGGCGCCTAACATCCCATTTCCTGGGGAGCTGCAGCCGAGTCGTTCTGCTTTGGAGAATGCGACATTTTCCATCAATGCTTTTGCGCCGCGTACTCCCGGCCGGAACCGGACTGCTACAAACAAGGGTTCTCCAGAGTATCCAAGCAGCTCCGATTCAAACTCTTCGAGGTCCGGTGTGCCCTTGGGACTGCCAGCAACCCCGAAAGCCATGAAGCATCCCAAATATAACGGGTATGAAGAAACAGCACCGACTCCTCCGGTGCCTTCTGATGCCGGCATCCTACTTAGTGATGCCAAATACCAGGGTGATGCTGAACGGATCGGTCGTTCGATGTCTGTTCCAATTCCCGAAAGCCATCAGCCTGGCGCGGTGCCAACGAATCTCCCAATGCATCCAAGATACAATCCTCATCTCCCAAGAAGTCGATCCACAAGCCGAACACGAAGCATGGCTCCTCGTCGAGACAGTGGCGGACATAGCTACGGCGGCTCCCCTGTGACGGTTAGCATAGAGGAGACCATCGAAAATGCAATGGCAAACCAGCAGACCGAGAACCCTCCCATTTTGCCGGAGCTCCAACATTTGAGTCCTCCTCCTCCGCCACCTCCCCCGACTGCCCCTTTAGCCTCTCCACGCGAGTCTTCAGGGACCATAGACATCGCCATTGACAACGAAGACTTCGGTCGGCTGCTGCCTCGAGCGATGACCACGGGACCTACGCTTCACACAGATGGCCGTCCGGGTCTGGAACAACGCCGTATGTCTTTTGAGCACCGCCGAGGCCGCAGTGTCAACGAGAGCCTGAGCAGCAAGATCCGTAACCTGGCTCGGATGGGCAGCACCAAGAGCACAGACTCGTGGGTTGCTACTGATATTTCGATCCCGTACGAGAGCGTTATCGTCGACGGGCGCATATGAGCATACCTTTGATGCATTGCATCTAACCTGTCAACCACTACAGTTGGACAATTATGATTGATGACATTCTGTTTCTTTTCATTCTTTCAATTACTTTTACATTTGCTTGTGTCCCCCACCCCCTTTTCTTCTTTTTTCCATTCAGCCAAGGCATATCTCAGATTTTGGTTATTGCGATAGTTGGAACTGTATACCCTGGCACTACGCTTCCCTGATAATGATGGACAAGCAAGGAATTACTCAGTTACCAGAAGATGCACTATAATGGGTTTCCTTTCATATTTCCATTCTTCCTCGTCTCTAAACATGGCCCTCGGGGGCACGAGAAAAGTCGCTCCTTAACCTATTTGTCTAAGTCTTGCCATACTATGCAGACACTTAGTGATTAATCAAGCCATTCCGGACCACACTGGTCAATTACTCTAGAGCATTAGGCCTTACGAAGCATTGCTCGCAGGAAACATGTAGCTGTATCCAACTGGCACCGGGCAACTATGGGTCAAGGACAAGTAATCAACTGGCAGAGGGGAATGTCGTAATTAAAGTTCACCTGTCCATGCCATGGACAATAAAGTCAGCGCTATGATGTACAAGCCACTATACAAACAATCAGTCCCATTTCCCCCACCACCCAGAAGTGTGCTGCTGTGGAGTGTTCAGACTGTCCGTCGACATCTTCCGCTCCGCCTCCAACATCCTGTCAAATTCCGCCTGCGCCAACTCACGCTCACTCGGCTTATCGTTAGCCGGAGCCGGAGCAGGAACAGAGGCAGTGGAACTGGACGCAGGCCTATACACCGTCCGCACCTCCCGCTGAGCCGAGACATTATTCTGCTTCCGAATCCTCTCCCAGGCACTTTCCCCAGGCACCGATTGGTCCTTGTCCCTATACTCAGCAGCCACAGGACTAGCATCATCCCAGAAGTCATCAGCCTTATCCCTCGACGACCTCGGCGTCTCATAAGACGGCGTAGCCACCTTCTTCGTCTCAGTGCCCCACGACGTCGTACTCAACCCGAACCTCGCCGCCTCCTCATCCGACCCAGTCTGCACCCCAAGCCCATCACCCTGCTGCGGCAGCTGACTCTGCTCCTCACCCTTCGACCCCGGCATCGGCGTCGTCGGCGGCGGCGGCATCCTCCCCGTCCTATCACCAGGCCCCCTCATCTCACCCCTCCTCTTCCTCGCCTCAGCCCAAAGCCCCTTCAACCTCGAATCATTCATCATATCATTAATATCCCTGGCACCCGCAATCCCATCACCAATCATCAGACACACAATCGCAACAAAAACCGACTGAAACCCCGCCCGTGCAGCATCCTGTCTCCACGTATTCGGGTTCTCCCTCACCCATTTCTGTATCCCCGCGATCAGCAAATCATACCGTCGGATGCCCGCCTCCGGCGCGAAATTCTTCTTCCATATCTCGGTCCTCTGCGAGGCCTTGTAGCACGCGATCATGCCAACGAGCACGCCTACCGGCTGCCCGATTCGGCTGTGGTAGAGGCGTGCCGTGGAGTGCTCGATTGTGGCGTCCGCTTCGGGCTGGGTGAGTGGGCGGTGCGCGATCCGTTGGTGTTGCTCCAGTGTGCGGATCACGTTCATGGTTACTAGGCTGCTCCATACGCCTTGGCCTCCGAAGCCTAGGTAGAGGGTTATTGGGTCCGGGCGTTTGAAGAGCTTCGGGTTCACTTTTAGTGGGTGGAAGCGGGAGAATGGGTCGTTCGGGTCCTTGAACACGGCGGGGGGGTCCCCGGTAGGTGGGGGGTCGGCGGTGTAGGGCATTGTGGTGGGTGCGAAGCTGTGGTGGGTTGTTGTGGTGTTGTGGTTGTGGTGATGGATGGGATGGGGAGCTTGGATGATGATGATGATGGAACTGATGATGCGGAGGTGGTTGTGCTGTGCTGGTTAGTCAGCTGCATAGGGGTTGTGCGGAGTTATGCGTAGGTCTGCTGGACTGTTTACATCTGTTTGAAGTAGAACTACTTTAAGCTTGGACTCATCTAGCTATTTATAACAAATACAATTGAAAATATCTATCATATAGGTAGCAATCAGGAATTTCGAAAGCTAATCCTGTCTTTTAGACACTGGAATTGATATTCTAGTTCATTTAGATACCACCCTCTGCAACTTCATCCTTATACATTATTAACTTGAAATACTATCTATCACCAACTACTGCACACTCCGTATTCCCCAATATTCTCCTTACCACCTCTCCACATAGGGCCTCAAATCCAACTCAAACCCAAACGTCGTTCTAGGCTGCGTATGCAAATGCCAATACGAGTCGGCAATCTACCCACATCATCAGCATCTCACCCCATCAAACAATCAAACAGCTCAGGGCAATGAGAGAAAACTTACAGCCTCAGGATCCAACTTAGCATCCTCCTTCTCAAACACCCACCCCTTCGTCCTCGGGATATCAATAACCCCATCAATGATAACATGCGAGACATGAATACCCTTCGGTCCAAACTCCCTCGCCAGCGACTGCGCCAACGCTCTCAGCGCGAACTTGCCCGCCGCAAAGGAAGCGAATTGCGCCGAGCCCTTAAGACTGGCTGTCGCGCCGGTGAAAATGAGAGTAGGAGGGTATTTCAACCCTCCTTGCGACTCAGCAGGGAAGAGTGGGAGGACATTCTGGGCGAAGTTAAATGCTCCTTTTCTGTATTATCGCATTAGTATTTCGTCTTCTATTTGAAGGGATGAAAATGCATACCCCTGACTCTCAAAGCCGGAAGCAAAGTCCGTCTCGGTCAACTCGAGGAAAGGCTTCCTCACGAATCCACCGCCCGAGTTGAATACGGCAGCTGCTAGCGATGAACCCTGGAACTGCGATTTGATCTGCTCAAAGGCGGAGCGGACACCCGTTGTGTCGGAGAGATCGGCGCTGATGCCGGTGGCTTGGCCGCCAGCGGAGTTGATCTCGTCCACGACCGGCTGGTAGTTTGCTGGGTTGCGGGCTAGGACTACGATGGGGTAGGATTTGGCGAAGCGGCGGGCGATGGAGGCGCCCTGTGCGATTATTAGTTGTTTGTTTGGGCTTTTTTTCAAGGGATGGGTGTATAGTATGTTAGTCGGTGGGAGAGATACGTACAGTGCCTGGGCCAACGCCGGCGATGATAGCGAAGGGTTTGGTGGCCATTTTGATGATTGCAGGGTTTTCGTTGGGGAATAAAAAGATATAGTTTTGGGATGTTTATGGGGAAAGAGGGGTTGATATGGAACTATATAGTAAATGAGGAGATTCTCATGGCGTCATTCCAGTCGGGGTTCTTGTCATGCCGAGATTAGAAATCCGCGATGCGATCAGTAATCAAGGGATGGGGTGTGGCCGGGGAGTGTGTATATGGTCTAGAATTTTACTTTAGCAAGTATATACTCTAAGTAAAAGGCAAAGACGGGGTTCATTGTCAAATTGGCTATGATAGAGTGTCATTATAGTTTTGTGGAAGGTAATGTGGGAAATAATCTGTGTCTGACAGGTAGGAAGCAGCAAATAGGGTAAAAACTCTAGTATACTCCGGGATAGCCGCTACTATCTACTTTCCCCCAAACTAGCCATGGCAAGCAATTCACGACTCTCGACTCTCCATTTCACCATATTTATCATCACTATTTATGTTCAACTTATGTTAAATATTCACGAGATTATGATGAAGTTAACTATGGTGAATGATAAAAGGAACGCTAACCCCAATCCGTTAATGCTGGACATCACGTGCATGTATAGACAGTGACTGCGATGTACACAACAAGTTCTATTTATTTGAGAATTTCATACTCAGTCATGATGTGTCTCTGTTCAGTCAGTGGGTGATAGCGTCAAAATCATTCCAAGTTATCACGCCACGTCAGTGGTTGTGACTTTGTGACCTTGACTGTGCCGGATCATGCAGTATCAACAGTATCTATACTGACGATCGTTCAATATGGATTCGCACGAAGCAGCAAAAGCAACGCGTCTTAACAAGAAAGCTCAAGCTCCACCTGTCAAAGACGTTCTTCGCGTTGCCTCATATCACCGACTCGACTACGACCTAGCTGTCATCAGGACATCCCCTATACACCACAACCTGATACGTCACTTGCTGACTCCCAAAACCCACACCATCGACCTGAACTCAAGTCTAGGAGTACTTGATATCTTTCCACTAGAGTTCATCCACGAGATTTGCCTCAAGCTCGACATCCAATCCTTGTTCCGCTTCCACCGAGTCAACCGTCGAGCTCGACAAATCGCCAGCGCCAGTGGATACTACAAAGCAGTAGTCAAATACGCCGTCGAGGCCCTGTTTGTCATCTTCAGAACCGGCCTGGCACCTTGGTACACAATTTCGGACTTATATGACGTCCTCTGCACAAAGAATTGCAAGGAATGCGGTGCCTTTGGTGGCTTTATCTTCCTTCCATCGTTCATGAGATGTTGTTTCTTCTGCATTCAGGACGACCACCTTCCTTACCTTTTGCCTACTCGTCACGTCAGACCATTCCTGGGCTGGCGTCCAGTTCCTATTTCCAGCCGGATCCCTATGATAACGACGCTGCCTGGGGTGTACTCGTTGGATGAAACAAAGCGAACGGGACGATTCGAATTTGTTTTGGGAAAATCCGCTAAATCGCTCTTCCCGCCGGACCGGGTTCCAATTATCCCCAGGCTTCATTCGACGGTTTACACAGAGCTACAGCGTTACATGGCCAGTACGGCTCTACCTTATTTCGACGAGAAAAAAGGTGTCATTGAGAGGGGCGTTTCCTGCAGTGGCTGCCAGATTTCTCTAGAGAAGGCCTTGCAGTCGTCAGGGGCAGACTATGATGACTGGGATGACCGAGATAGATTTTATTCGCATGATCAATTCATGGTGCATTTTGGAAAGTGTTCAGAGGCTCGCAAGCTATGGGAATTGAGCAAGGGGGGCACCATCAAGCCTGACGTCCCGGCGTTTGTTAAGAATGGAGGCTGCGCTAGGAAGAGGTATATTCCTGATCCATTTCGCAGAAGATAGCTTGTCAGAAGGCTTGGTACAGGAGGCTTTCGTCAGCAAACTGGAACTTGGTGTAGCCTGAGATAATATTCAGGAGTGTAATGGAACTCAGGATAGTAATGAAATTGAAATTGTTTCCTTCGCCCATGCAACATGCATGATAGGCACATATGCGGATGATCTTAGCGGTCTGCCAATTATTTATTAACCACTTCTGAATGGGAGACTCCGTCCCCAACCCATCTCACTTGCAAAGTATAGCCCCAATGCTTAGTCCGTACCTGAGATACTAATCAGATATTCCTATCAAAGTACTCTCTCGTTAAAGTGGCCTCCTTCCATGAAAACCAAAACCTATCTCAAAACACCCACCACCACCACTACCCACAATGGCCCCAACCCATCCCACCCCCACGATCCTCTCCATGGACGTATCAAGCAAAGATGACAGCGCCTACCGAATCCTCCTACAAAACAAAATCCGCTACCTAACAATCCGTCCCGGGACATTTAACCGCTCAACCCTATTAACACCTCTCAGCTCACTACCCAACCTCCCAGGAGACGATGCCTGGAACTGCGCACTCATCAACCGAGACCCAGCCAGCGGCGAACTCACCATCGAACCACAGAACCGTAATCTTACCGGCATAACAAACATCTGGCATTCGTTGCAAATTGACTGTCTTCAGCTAAAAAGGAAAAGACAGCTTACAGCTACTGCATTCGAAGCAACCTACTGCGGCAGCGAGCTACCAAGCACTACTACATCGGAAGAGAACAAAACAGTCATTGTCAAAATTGCCCGATTTGAGTGGGAAATACCCCGTCTATCGCGGGAGACTTCTATATATAAACAGTTACAAGACATCTATGATCTTACTCCGCGCTTTTTGGGTCATGTGCATGAGCATGGGCGTGTCATTGGGTTTATACTTGAAACGATTGAGGGGCGGGAAGCGGGGATTGAGGATCTTGTGGGGTGTCAAGCTGTGTTGAAGCGATTACATAATATTGGTATTGTTCGGTGATGTTAATAGGTATAATTTTGTTGTTCGGGGTGATGGTACGGTGAGGTTGATTGACTTTGAGAGTAGTTGGCTAGATAAGGCTGCGACTGCCATTATGCGTGCTGAGATGGAGAGTCTAGGTGAGCAGTTGGTGGAGGGGACAGGACGGGGTGCTTGTTTTGCTCGGTCGGAATAGGATTGGGTAGCAGATACACATCTTCTTTTGGGTTTAACCAACTAGTTGTTAAGACATTAGCCAGGCACCTTTGTTTTGTCAAGACCGAGTTAGTCTTCATAAAACTTGACTATACGACTCAACCATCTTTCTGCCCCAGGCACCAACACCCCAAGCTCCCTCCCTTATCGATAAGCCACCATCCAACAACTCCAGCTTATCTCCGATACGAAAACCCATCATGCTATCATTTTTTTCTCCGCATGCGACAGACACACCCTCCTCCATCACCACATCCTAACCTAACATTCCACTCTTTTTTAATCTACTAACACCAAACCAAACCAAAACACAACTAAAAAGAAATGTCCACCTCAACCCCCGACTCCCCCCTCTCCGACCTCTGCTCAATCTGGTCCGTCCATGCCCCCATTCCCATCCCCATCCCATCCACCCTTCTCCCACCCAACTCTCACTAACCACTCCCCTCTCCCTCTGGGAAATGAAAATACAACAGCCACCTCCAACCCCCCAAATACCGCTGTCCACGATGTTCAACGCGCACCTGCTCACTACCCTGCACACGGCGTCACAAACTCTGGTCCCAATGTTCAGGGATCCGCGACCCAGCAGCCTACCTGCGCCGGTCCGAACTGGCAACGGAATCCGCCTTCGATCGGGACTTTAATTTCATTACGGGGATTGAGCGCTCGATTGAGCGCGCGGGACGGGATGCGGAGAATAGGGGGATTGATGTTGCTTCTTCGGGTGTGAGGGATTTGGAGGCGGTTGGGTTGGATGCGGGGGATATTGATGGGGGTGTGGATGATAGGAAGAAGGGTGGTGCTGGTGCTGGTGCTGGTGCTGGTGCTGCTGGGGGAAAGAGGAAGAGGGGTGGGGATACTGCTGGTAATGGCGGTGGTGGGACGAGGGCTGAGATGGAGTTTTTGAGACGTGCGGAGGAGAGAGGGGTTAGGGTTGTTAGGGCGCCGAAGGGGATGAGTAGGAATAAGGGGAATGGGAGTCGGTGGTTGGGGAGGTATGTTCTTTCTTTTCTTTTCTTTGGTGCTTGGGATGGGAATGTTGGTGGGATTGGGATCGTGCTAACTACGTGGTATGTAGGAATCAGTGTTTGGTTTGGACGGTCGAGTGGATTCTGAGTGATGGGGAGAAGAGGATGAGGAATTGTTCGGAGTTGGCTCCTGTTGCTGATTCTTTTGATCGGGTGGTTCCCCTTCCTAAGGAGGAGGGGGTGGATGATGAGGATCAGAAACAGACTGGGGATGAGAAGCCAGGGGAGACGCCAGAGTTGAAGACGGAGCAACAACCGCAGGATGCCACGAATACAGCCCCCGAGCCAGCCTCGACTACAGAACCTACACAACCAACAGAAGCACCAGCCGCTCAACCGGAAGCTTCAGAGCTGCCACTTACCCCCCACCGCGATCTCTACTTCTACCTCCACCGGCCGCGGACAGCTACGAAACAGCCTGTTTTGGCCCCCCTGTCCCCCAAGATCACCATTGCTGCCGCTCTGCGTGGTCACACAGTCTTGGAGTTCCCGACCATCTACGTGCTGCCGGACTCACCTGATACTATACGGGCCCAGGAAAATTCCAAGTACATTCTAGAGGAAGAGTACCTCCGCACGCATCAGTCGCCGGAAGAGAGCAGCGAGGATACGGGGGATGCAGACGACACATTGCCTCCGGGTGCCATTGACCTTCAAGGCGTCGACGAATCCAAGGTTCTGGAAGTCCTCCAGAAGGATCTGTTCGAGCCTTCGGCAGCAGCGTAGGAACTATCTAGATCTGGCTGGAGCATCATGAGATAGAAGGGAGGGGAGGGGACATCTACTTGTACCTAATATTTGTTCATATCATAGCGACAACTGGAGAGCCGGGTGGAACCGTGCTTTACTTGCATCTGTACTAGGAAGAAATCATCTATGATCGGCTGATGCACTTCGAGGCAGTCTGAGCGAAGACAGCGATCTCGACCGTATAGGTAATTACTCGAACTCCCGACCCGTTGTCTCGGATCGAGCTATGCTTGGTCAATAATCACTGGTTAATTGTGCAATCAAAATCGAAAGTATGTACGCTAAATCCAATATCCAAACATGGGGTATCATATGAACCAGAGTAAATCAAACAGGACGCCTTTGATGCTTGTTGGGTATCAACGTCCGTAGCGGTTTATATAGCCAAGACATGATAGATCGTCGGTATATGTCAAACGCTCACCTTTGGCGAGCAAGTGTCGTCTCTGCCTTTCAGGTATTCATCGGAGGTTCCAGCAGGCTCCGCAGCCTCGATCAATCGATGGCGCGACATAGCCTGGCGTGGAACGGCGATCCACGAATACCCGAGCGTCTGCTGCGCAGGGACAAGGCGGTTAGACGACGTAACCGATGTATCGACGTACTGTGTAGAGATATCACAACTGCAGTGTGTATCCCATGGCTCAAGTCAGTGGACTCGAAGCATCAGACGCAGTGTCTGGAAGCTCGTGATCGCCGATTTTCTCGGCATGATCAGAGGAAATAGATAAGACTTCGGTAGGAATCGTATTCGGCAAAGTTGGCTCGTCCTCTGGTGCAACCTTGCTGTTGCGAGAACCAGCTTTAGACTCAGCGGCTCTAGACTCAGTGGGCGACATGTTCGTCCGCTCCGATCGGTTGGATCGAAGTCGGATCCGGCCTTTCTCCAAGGCTCGAAGCAATGTACCAACCTCGTCCGAAACGATCCCACGAAGCTTGCTCATTGTATCGTCAGAGATCTCAGAGTGGGCATTCCAACCAAGCTTGTCAGACTCTTCAGAGGTCAAAGACTTGGACTCCAAAGAGGGTCCAGTGATGAGCCTTTTCAGAGTCGTAGGTGACACAGTTGGGCGGCGTGCCATCTTGACCGGCTTCTCCTTGCTCGAAGTAGCCGAAATCACCTCTTCCTGCTGACGTTTAGGTGGGCGGGTTATCGCAGTGTTCGGGCCTTCGCCCACTTCGTTGCGAATCTTATAATATACCAACCCCAAGGTCGCAGCCAGGGCCTGGTGTGCAGCCTCGGGGTACAGGCGAACGGCTTCTGCGCGACTCAAATTGGACGGATAATCGCTGGAATCACTGGAGTCGCTATCACTCGCAAACAGGCTTTGCTCCTGGTGCATGCGGCCCCAATACTCGTATCCTCCAAGCTGATAGAAGTCGGCCAGTTGTGCCAATCGGTTGACTGAGTTAACGTTAGATGCTTGCCGTAGTGACGCACATGATTCCTGCACTTACTCCTGCTTCGCTTCTTCAGACACCAAAATCTCCACACAGTGCGAGGGAAATATTCAGGCCACTGCAACGATCCATCCTCTTCAACGACAGGTACAGGGGTGATCGGTGCATGCGTCGTGTGGGCCAGAGAGTTGAAACGAACGCGTTCAGAATGCTTCATCCGAGCTTCAATAAGAGAGAACCGATTGAACACAGAAGTCAAATGTCGCGATGTCTCATGTTGCAGAGTAATCAGATCCGTTCGAAGTTGGCTGATGGTCGCATGTAGTTTGCTGATCTCCACGCGACATCCACATACGTCAGTCTGCAGGTGCTCAACATCTGACTGGATCTGTTCCACGTTTTTCGACAAGCGGTCGACATCACTGCGAAGGAAGACGGTCTCGTTGCCGCTTTGGCCGATACTGGACTTGAGTTGGGAGATCCCCGACTTCAACTGGTCGACGTCTGTCTTCAATGCAACAACATTCAGATCGATTCGACTAGAAATTGACCGATGGGCTTCAAATTCGCGGCGAATGTGTTCGTCTTCGCGGTTTCGTCGGTCAACGTAGCCATCTTTGGTTAGAACGCTGGAGCGTAGCTCAAGTAGGCGGGAGTCCAGAAAGGTCAGGCGGTCATGGATGTGTGATAGGGACGGATCTGCTAGGGCTGGAGGCGTGTTTTCATGGATGAGAGATAGTCGGGGGCTAGAGACGGGGATGGACATGCTCGACGTGCGAGAGAGGCTGCGTTCGAGGGTTGTGGTCATGATGGGCGAAAGGGGGACACGGAGAAACGGTAGAATTGCGCGGGTTGATGTACATAAAAGCACATAGAACGCTTTAGACAGGTATCAGCAGCATTTTGCCTGAGTTGTGAGATGACAGCGAGATGGTTGTGGTGGAGTTCGATGACGGTTGTTGATGGTTGAAAAGCGATGGCTGGGGGGTTGCAAGAGGGAAAAGAGACGAGCGACCGTCGAGAAGGGGATCCAGGCAGATCCCGCCCCTCGCTGGCTGCCTTCCTTCGTGGCACCCGCTTCACCCAACCGAATTCATTCCAGCGCCTGACCTCAATGCATACAGTCGCATCCAAGGGAATTGCCATAATAGCAGCGCTGCTTTTTTGGACTTGTCAATCTGTACAGGCTTGATCATGGCAACTTTTCTATTTCGTTGTTTCTCCTAGCTAGTATACTTAATCGCAGAGGAAGTTATCGCGAGCCAGCTATGACAATACACGGTACAATCCGTGACAAAACGCTTCACAACATATCGGCGGCTTGGCAGACACACTGCATTCAGCTGACCCAAATCAGCCAATCACCATTGTTCCTGCTCATCTCGCCACCCGAAATGGAGAGTAGCATCACCCGTTGATTGGACAACGCAAATAACTAGTAGCATCCTTCAGCGTCATGGTCCTCACCTTCGTATCGATAACCGTACTGGTCAGATTGTATACAGGATGAAAACGGAGTCATCAGGTCTCATTCTCCAGACAGACGGGCGGGGTTCGCTTAGCATAGATTGGACGCCTCGCTGACTTGAGATTTGGCATTACTACAGAACAATCAACCAGCGATCTCAGGTATCCCAAAATAAGGCCGGGAAATATCCCTCATATTTCACGGCATCTTGCTCAAGCACTCAGGCATATGACGCATAGGTACTGCCTAGGGCCATTGTTTTGGAAGCGCTGATCAGGGAGTGTGCTGATGGTATGTATGGATTGCTTCGTCGCAGGAAGGAGACGTACACATCGTTGGTTCACGTCGTTAACCAAAGAACGTCTGTAGCTTGTCCTCTCTCATCACGTCCAACCAGCTAACCATGGAGCAAGCCCCTGCACTTCTTGAGCTCATGCTATCCGCTCGCATCCACACTCCTTCCACTATTCTTCTCGCGTGGTCCACCGAGTCCAGACCAACATAGTCTCGTAGACTGGTAATTTTGTCCATGACAACACGTCTCCAGTAATTTGTGATGATGCTGTTGCTAGATAGTAACATGATCCCTCGAATCGGATCGCGAATACATGACGGCAACAACGATGTACTGGATGAGGGCTGCGTCTGCCCTTGCAGCGCGCTGCCTGCAATGATCAATGGAAGAACCTGAATAGCCTTTGTTCTGGATGATGGAGGGATAGAAATCAGCAGGGTCAAGATGTTTGTGGCGAGCGTGTCAAGGAAGTGTTTTGTCTCTGATGGATTGGGGCTGTAATTGATCTGGTCATCGCTCGACCGAAGTAACTCTGGAAAAAGCCGGTAAATCTCGAGCAGTATCGATAGCTGGTACACAACCCCCATAGTATGAAGATGGCTCGATGGGGTGAGGTCATCTCCTGTAGCGCTAATCTCATCAACCGGCAATACAGCATAAGCGCGCACGCACTTCTCAATTTCCTTTGCCTTGTCAAGAAGTGAAAGATACATCTCTCCCTTGTATTTATCCGGGCCTGTCAGGGAGCACAGCCGATCAACAAGGCGAAGCTGTCTTGACAATGTACCGACCTGAGCCATAGAGATAAACAGTGATGTGCTGACCCCGGTAAGTGGATTCGGACAGCAAGCCTCCGAGTTTGTTCCTCTGTTGCACATATCCCAAAGATAGTCTACTGCCTCCAGATTCTGGTCAACGTGAAAGGAGGCAAGAGCCTCCCAATACGCCATCACACCAAGTAAGAAGCTAGATTTCGGACCATAAAGAGACGGTCCCACGCTTTGTCGGTGGGCGTTAAACATCCACTTTTGGAATAGAGTACGGGCGCCTTTAAGATGCACTAAATCTAGCATGGATACATCGTGCCATGTCTGGTTTCGGTAAGGAATTAGTAAGGACACGAAAGACCAGTTGCCAAACGGAATCAAAGTACAGCTTACCGAGGTCATCCCGAGTAAGATAGAACTCAGCAATAAAGCAGTCGTATCTAGGTTGGCTGGTGCAGAACCCTCAGCACTAGTAACATTGGTGATGTTGGAAGCCAGTTGTGATATAGCCTGGGTTCGATGTTCAAGCGAGTACCTCATCCGGTCTTTTTCTAATCGATGCAGATGAGCGGACGACATAGAGAGAACGGAATGCAAAAGTGCTGGACATGATGGTATAAGTTCTTCGAGCAGCGACCGGAGCGGATTCTGCGAAGAGTCAGAGGCAGAAAGGATGCCGCACACTTGCGAGAAGTAATATCTCAGTAATTTGTCAGTAACTGGTTCCGGACAGCTGTATGGCAGTTGATTCTGATAGATCTGGTCTTGATGGTACAGCTCTGCAGAAGAACTGCACAACGTATCCCAAGCATGTGTATTAATCCAGCAGTCTGCGGTACACGTTGCCGTGTCTGTGCTCTCCAATGGCGCGTCCGCGGTCTTGACGATCGCTATATGGCTGGGAGCGATGGCAGCTCTCAGTTGAAGAGCACCCTCTACAAACCAGGCCGAATCATTACTGTGCAACGATTGTTCTTGGCTTGTCGCAGACCCTCTGAGCAACTCATATTTATCGGACCATTTCACATCTTTCCTGTAGCCAGGGCACTGCAGTCCTTTCTTCTCACACGGTGAGCAACCATGGGCTTTCTCGTCACACTTGATGCGCTGTTTTAACAACGTTAGGTTATATCCAGAGCAAGATCACGGTGCCCATGATGGGTTAGTCGTATGTCACCCACCCGTTTCTTGCATATCTGACAGCCGGCTATGGGTCAGGACATTGCGGTTAGTGTAACTGCTACATCCATCCTAGGCTGGGTCTCTTACCACGCGATTTGATTCTCTTTCGTGGGTTTGAAGTCTTGTATTCAGGCATGTCTCATTGTTTACATGGAGGAAGCCATTCCGGGGTCTCGAGCGGGCCTTGTTCTTAAGGAGAGTTATGGGGCACAGGTACGCTACGGAAATACTCCGTCTTCCCCACCTTATCCAATCGTGAAGCCAGGGATTTGACAACCGAACGATAAGCAGAAAGCCAAGGATGATATGCATTTGAATCTCTAATCGGGCATACAGTTGCGACTGCTCATCACTAAATGCTACATGCTCATTTCGCTACCTTATCTATCCAGTATGCCTTTCCTTGGGTACCACGATCATATATGAGATTCCCTCAAGGCAAGCGTCCCAGCAGCATCCGTTTCAGCCAATATTGTCGCGTACGAACAAAAGAACATCTGCACCAGTTTTGCCGGCTTCGGATCCCAGCAGAAGAACCGGCCTGTCGAGCGCATCTGTTGAAGATCCACCACGACAATCGATTCAACAGGCATGATCTTCTCACTCCAAAACAGCAGATACAATTTCTCGTCCAGCTTCAGCATTTTGCATGGTTCAGTGTCTGCAAGCCCTTTTTCGGTCCCACTTAGACAATGCCACGTCAATGTGCCTTGGTTTAGGTAGATGTGCTCGTAGGCGTCCCGGGGCGTGTAGCGGTATAGGATGTGTTTACCGATAAGATCTGTTGTCGGCGCAAACGGGACAACATCGTTTCGTCCGTCAATTGCGGCGTTCGAGAACCGAGTCCAGGTCCGTTTCTGCCCGTCTTTGATGTGAAAGCCAGAAAGTCCAACAATGGCCTGACCGGTGCGCAGGTTCATCACGAGACTGACTTGCTCTTGATAATCGGGCTTGTAGAAATTGACAAAGAAGGTGTCTCGTCGGACTTCGAAGGCTTTGTACTTCGCAGTCCCGGTCTGTTTATCCCTCTGGACTTCCCATTCTAGAGTGTCATCATCGATAAAACGGTGCGCAATCCGTGTGACATTGGTGTCGTTTAGGAATAGCGTGAGATGCTTCCCGGTGAGCTTGCGGGACTCAGCCATCAAGTGCTCATTGAAGCCTACCGCGAGGGCGTCGAGGTTTGGCCATTCGGAGATTGGGATATAGCCAGGGGTCTCATTTGCTGAAGCCATATTGGGAGCTGTTCAGTCCTCAAGTCACTCGTTCTGGTGGGAAGGGATATGGAGAAAGAAGGATGACTTGCAAGGATATTTCAGACTCTAGAGCTGCAGACACAGTAGTTGGCTTGGGTGTTACCTGAACCTTTATAACCCTCAAGTTGATGCTTTCTTATACTTCAATCCGTTTCTCCTTCACAGCTAGTCCGAGACCATAGTCTACGGCTCCACAATATCGTACTTTATGCCCGTAAGTGGTTTAGTGCATCTCGCTCAGTCCACTCTATGCCTGCGCGCCACAAGGTAAGCAGTAGGTTTACTCGAAACTCGAATTCTGAACAGCGAATGAATAAGAAAACTGGACATGAGAGCAATAGCCGCGGTCGACGGCGGAATAAGACCGAAAGCCGGTGCAGCGTGAGAGACATCGCCAGCGGGGCACATGACACTGCTATGAATGACGTGCAAACAGCTCGCATAGACTTGACTTCTGCAGCAAGAACCCAAGAAAGGCGAGATAAGCCAACATGGACCAAGGACGAAGGTACTTTCATCAGCCAAAGTCCTTGTCAAACAGACGCATTATCCCTGATCTCAGTACTAAGGCTATATAGTTGGAACAAACTCCAGTATACATTGGTTTCCCGAGCGGCAGCGCTAAACCTGTTTCGTTAATATAATTCGCTTATAATATATTATTATTATAATACTGCAGAACCTCTCATACAAAATACTGCAAATTATATTATTATTATACAATTAGGGTTTGGTTAGCGGTCGCCATGAACGAGGTTGCAATGAAAAGTCTTTCCGATTCCATCTTCCACAAGTCACAATCATCCATCTTCAATCCGGGATTGGACTCTTACTCATAAAACATAATCTATACCGCATCGCATACTATTCAATCTCCCTTGGCAACATTAATCCCTGAGGTCCCAATTCCACCGTCGAATATAAAACAGAGAGTCCTTAAGATGGCCTTTCTGATGCTCCTGTGGCTTTACTTTGACGAGAAATTAGAAGAATCAAGAGAAGAAGCGGACGATTCGGACGCAGACGAAGATGAAACAATCGCTCTGGCCAATGCAAGCGACGAGATGTTAATCGAGGCCTTTGACGCGATGAATCGATTGATGGCTCGTTCTTAATATCTCCAATAATCAGCGCTTGAGTTAGGGACTGGCATGCTGAATAAAATGTCACCTATACCAGGTAAGCGATAGTGTCTAGAGTATCAAACCTCAAACGCGTGTTCTCCGCGACGCTAGTGTGATTATCCGCTCACCAACTCGGATAATAGGATCTCCGTTACGAAGTCAATGAGATCGGACCTTACGATGCAAACCATTCGAGTATTTGGTGGTGGCTTCAACTTGGATCTTGTGGTTGGCTTGAAATATATCGTCGATTGGAATATCATAAGCTGAGTAGGCATTGGTTGCTCGTTCAAGGGCGATAATTCGGGGATGGTTCCTGACTGCACACATAGTATATGGTTAGCATACTTCTATTTAATGAGCAAGGAATGGATTTATGCTAATCGGACCAAAGTTCCGCTGGTCGCTTCTACCCACGCCACAAGCACCCTCTACCACATGAATAAGCCCTCAGTAAGCCAACAGAATATCACTCGCGCCGAATTTTCGTCAGCTCGCTAGTCATGATCCCTATGTTTCTACCGACCTTCCCAGGACTAGGGTTGTGCGTGCAAACGATGGTGTGGCAGAAAGTGATTCCGGGGGGAGCATACATCTCCATACAAAGTGGGCCCCTTTGTATACCTCTCGTCCCCAGCAGCATAGTTCCCTCCGCAAATAATTCCGTCAAGGATCAACTCACGCCCAACGTTGTGGTAAACTACCAAACTACATTCATTTCATCATGCAGACCCAACAACTGTCAAGTTGATGGAAGTGACCGCCATGACGCACCTTCCATGTCAACATATCCCATCATCAGCTCACCAACATCATCATCAATCTCTCAACCGTCTTCATCATACAACAACTACTACTATCCTTAACACCCCCTTCCTACATCTATCTTCAACCCTATCCCTACTATTCATACCACTACCACTTTTCAAAATGAAACTCCTCCTCACCACCCTCATCCTCTCGACCCACCTCCTCCTCCACGCAACCGCAATATCCATACCCACCACCAACCTCCAAGACGACCACCCCCACGCCAACTGCGACTGCTACCTCACCTCCAGCATCACCTCCAACAGCCCCTCGAACCTAACAACCCCAACCTACTTCACTCACTACAGATTCTGGGACTTCCGCAACGCCCCTCTCCCGCAAACCAAGCCCGAAACAACACAAACCAACCCCTCCAACCCGCACGACACATCCACACTAGAAATCTACCCTCTAACAAACACCCTCTTCTCGCATGACTGGCGCGTCCAAACCTGGGACCGCGAAGCAACAGACATCAGCCCCGTACCCATGAAAAACACCGACGGGAACGTCTTCCTACTCAAGCACCCAACAAGCACACCCAAAGACCCACGCTCATCATTCCTCGTCCTCCGCACCACCCGCTTCCAGGACCACGCCTCAACAGCCGAAATGGAAGGTCTCTTCGGATACATATACCACTGTTCACTACGCCTACGGATGAGAATGATGTCGCGAGACGACATCCTAACAGCGGCAGGAGCAGCATCCGATACACAAGCAGTATCACAACCCCAAACCAAAATCCCCCGCGGCAGCTGCGCCGGCATCTTCACCTACCGATCGTCGATCTGCGAATCCGACATCGAGATCCTCACCACCGAGGACACCCATACGATCCACTACGCCAATCAACCCGACTACGATCCCATCTCGGATACCATAATCCCGGGGGCAAGTTCGATCGTGAATCTGAGTAAGCCGTGGACGTCGTGGACGACGCATCGGCTGGACTGGGTGGCTGATATGTCGGCCTGGTATGCGGATGGGCAGGTACAGAGCAAGAGTAACTATTCGGTGCCGGATCGGCCGAGTATCGTGGCGATGAATCTGTGGAGTAATGGGGGTAATTGGTCGGGCGATATGAAGGTCGGGGAGAGTGTGTTCATGGGTATTGAGTGGATTGAGCTGGTTTATAATGTTACGAAGGCCGATCAGGATCTTCCGATTAAGGATCATCCTGGGCATAGGGATCGGTATCATCGGGTTGGGGGAAGTGCTTCTGCTTCTGGTTCTTTTGCTTCTTCTGTGGGTGGGGATGAGGATGATGCCGAACGGAAGATGGGGAAGGCTAAGGAGAAGGGTGCTGGGTGTCAGAGACCGTGCTGGATTGATCCGTGGCATCCTGTGTGAAGGCTGTGGTGTTCTGTTGTGTTTCGTTCCTATTCTTTGATTCAGTGTCATAGAATCCATCCTAAGTCTACACCCAGAATCGTGCAAGTCTTCGCATTTGCGTCTCTTACAGGTCTATCGTAGCTGTATATGCAGTAGTAAAAGTGTTACTTGGGTATTTGCCTTCGTAAGTTTTGCCTTCGTAAGTACAAATCGTCGAACCGAAGGGGCTGTACAGTAACCTGAAGGCACGACTAAATACATAACCATCCGCTGTTCCTCAAAGTCTTTCAAATCTCATGCGCCATGCTTGATGCCCAATGCTAATGCCGAATGTCCAATCCCCAAGACAAATCCCAAAACGAGTCCAAAAACAAATCCGAAAACATACATGTCAGGAGCTGTAGCTCGACTGACGGGGTATCCATACAAGACAATGTGAACCGCTTAAAAACAACCCCCAAAATGCAAACGATGTCCTTTCCTCCTCCTCTGCTTCCTCCTCGTCGTCGTCGTCGTTGTTGTTGTTGTCGTTGTTGTTGTCGTCCTCTCCCCCTTCCTCCATCTTCTTCTGAACCTGTTTGTGGTTAGGACGCTCAAACCAAGAAGCAAAAATAACCAAACACCAGAAAACAAAAGAAGTGCAACGTAAAGGTGAGCACCCATACATGTTGATACAAGTTCAAAGTAAAAAGAAAAGGAATTGAAGCTTCATACCTTCGCCTTGAAACTCCCTTCTCTTGTTTTTCTTTTTCATTTTTTGTTTTTTGGCCCTCCCCCCAAGAGGGGAGGAGGGCCGCCGTCCCCGTCCCCGATCATAGCAAGACATGGTCTTGCTGGGCGGGGTCGAATTCCCCCTCTAGGCCGCCGGCCATCAGCTCGGCCACTATCTTACGGCGCAGGAGTGGGGTGTCTTGCGCGCCGTAAGACAGTGGCTCGAGGCCGATGGCCACAGCCTTGGCGGTGGTGAGGAGGAAGACCCCGCAATCGGAACCATTGTCCTGCTGGGGGGACAGGGACGGCAGCACGCGCCACTCCTCCTCGACGTACTTGGGGCCCAGCTCGCCGCGGAGCCAAGTTTGGACTACCGCGATGTGGCGGCGAGACCGGGCCCCAAGAGAATCGAAATGCTCGATTGAGCGTTCTCCCGGTCGCACAACAACCAGCGTCCAGTGCTGGCTGTTGTGGACCGGGATGTAGACGGTGTCTACGTCGAGGAGGAGTGGCCCTCCGATCTTGGCCCGCTTGGCCCAGCGGGCCACGGAGTCATAGCCTTTGTCTCTCAAGTTCGAAAAAAAGAACGAATTGAAGGCGTGGAATCGGGGCTTGTCGTTGCGGCCGGCGTTGTGAGTCTTGCGGCGAAGGTAATCAACGATAAGGGCAAGGTATCCGTTGATGATCTCATCGTTAAGCCATTCGCCGCGCGTGTAACAGGTGGCGAGGGACCTCTTCGTTAGAGGGTCACCGGAGAGGGTGGTTGCGACGGTTTTTCCTCCGGATACGCGCCCATCTTGAAGTTCTTTGATGCGGGCTTCCCATTCGGGAGACAGGGGCCGTACAGCTGGGCCATCAGGTTTGATCCGTGATGGGAGCTCTTTCTGTCTCTCTTCTTCTTGGATCTGCCTCCAGCGGTTGGCGTACACAGACTCAGTTCGGCCCTCTGGAATGGGTCTTGGCTCGGGGTAAAATAGACTGACGGCCGATACTGCTCGACCAAGCGGGTATTCAAAGGTTGGTTGGGACCAGGGGTCAACGATGGGCTCATCCTCATCCTCGTTCTCGGGGACTGGCGGCACGTTTTCCTTTTCGGTGACCTGTTCGGCCTTCGTACCAACATTGGTTTCAGGTGCTGTCTTCTCATTCACATCAAATGTATCTCCGAGATGGGGTGCCAGGTTGTCCTCCACCTCACCCCATTCTCGCGTGTCGTCAATGAACTCGGCTACCACGGGCTCACGGAAGCGAACCCTGCGCGGAGTGGCGAGGCGAGGTCTGGTTCTATTCCGAGAACCGCCGGGAGTTCCTCTGACCTTGAGGATTGTCTTAGGTGCAACAGTGGTCGACGCTGAGAGAATCTTTTCAGTTGCACCCAATTTGACGGTGTCATCAGAAATTATGCCAATAGTGGCTGAGCGAGACTGGAAGTTCGCCAGCATGTTCATGTCTTGTACTCTGTCTAGTTCATCGTTGCTTCTCATCAAGATGGGTTCAATAGCACGGCTACCTGGGGCGGAGGCCTGACGGTCACACGCGGCCTGAGCTTCCATAGCTTTCTTCATGCCGGCGATGTCCCCAACGAAGAGGGCTCTGAAAGGCGCAGATCGCTCACGGTTCTCGGCGCGCTCGGCACGCGTTATCCACCGGTGCTTGCGAATACCCGGGCTTCCTTGCTGACGGAGACATTTTTGGGTGGTTTCTTGCGCTGAACGTCGAGCTGAACGGTGAGCCGAGCGTGTAGGGGATTTCCGAGCGGGGCGAGTTCTCATATTCTTTGAACCACGAGCACGTCTTTCAACGGAAACAGTGCCTCTGGGTGTCTGGGTCACTTGCTCTTCAGGCACTTGCTCTTCAGGCACTTGCTCTTCAGGCACCTGCTCCTGAGGCCTCTGTTCCTGAGACACAAGGTTCTGCAAAATTCGGGAAGACTCGACTGTAGGAGCCGTTCTGTTGTTAGAAGAGAAATCGGGAACGTTGGAGAAGTCGGGGAAAGATCTGTCGGTACGAGGGCTAGATTCTCCACTTCGGATTCTTCTATCACGATCCATGCGCTCCTGCTGTTCCGGAGACAGGTTGCGAAGGTTGAGGCGCGTGGGCGATCCAGGAGGCGAAGGAAGACGACGTCCACCGCGGCGATTCCAAAGTGCGCACACGCGACGCTTAGCAGCACCAACCGCATTCGCAGCGGACCTTGCCGCATAGGAAAAGTTTTGGGTGATCCCAACAGGAATGGAGACAACGGTCTGCATGTAGTCTTGCCACGTCCCCCAGTAAGCATACCAAGGTGAAGAAGGCTGTGGTTCGGCAACCTGAATCACGGAAACAGTCGAATCCTCGGCCTCGGCCATATCCGTATCGTTGGATGGGATTACTTCATCGGAAGTCATTGGGCTATCTTCATCATCGGTGGCAGCATTGGTGGACCACTGAGACGGCACTGACTCGGGCCACGCTCCAGGCATCATACGGCTATCTGGAGTGCCGGGGCTGGTCGGGATCGCAAGAGCGGTAACTGGCCTGACTGCAAAAGCGTCCACTTGACGCGAGATAGGAGGAATATTGGGAAGATCAAGGTGAGCCTCGACTGTTGCGAGGGCTGTAACCATATTTGGTTCGTTGTTATGTTCGGGGGTGTCGATGTCCATAGGCGAGCCTGGATACCAATCATTCTCGTTGGTAGTGGCATCATTGTCAGTAGCAGCACTACGTGCAAAGCTACCAGCTCTCACACGACGAAATTTAGCAGAAGGTGAACTGATGGGCTGAGCTTGCTCATTGCTACCATCATCCATTGATCTCTTGCGAGAAGGCGTAGTAAAGCCAGAAGATTTATTGGTGGAGAAAGAATTCATATGAAACGCTTTCTTGTCTATACCGATAGACTTGCCTCCAAGAAGATAATTGGTTCCACTTGACCTCTCAGGACCAAAAGGCAGGCTGAGGGGCTTGTTGTTTGACCAAGAGGCGCGGCTCAAGCCGGGATTTAGGTACTTGCTGGTACCAACTGAGGCATAGGATGGCTGCGCATTAAGGCGGCTCTTCTGGATAGCATCAAAGCTGAGGAGAGAGGTGGAGCGATTATTCGGAGAGAAGCGATGATCGGGTCTGATGAGCGGGGTGCGGAGGGGGAAGGAGGGCTTGACTTCATGCTTTCCGTTGAGTCTCACAGCCTTTGGATTTCCGGGAATATGCACGGATCGGAGCTGATACAAAGGACTCTCTGCGGAAGGGGCATTGACGGTTTCCTGAGGAATGTTAGAAGAGGGGAAATCGGGAGCGCAATCCATAGGGTCATGGGCGGTGGCATCGACAGCCTCCTCGTGGGGCGCCGAGTCTGCGGGCACATAGCATACGTCTTGCATTGGCTGGTCCTCCATGTCGGGTCTGAGAGTCGAGAAGACTCCAGACATGGCGACAAGTAAAGTAGACACAAGTTCTTCAGGTGAAAGAAGTTGTGAAAGAGGTTGTAGGATGTTGATCGCGCAGTACGAAAAGTTGCTGTATTCGCTGGAATCGTAGACGCGTTCAGAGGTAATGGGAAGATGGGTGATAGGAGAGAAGAAAGAGGAGAGGAAGAGAAGGAAGAGCAGGGTGAAGAAGAAAACAAGAGCGGCGCCGTGGGCAGCGAAAGGGAAGGAAGAATCAAAACAAAAGTATTCACTGAAGGCAGCCATGGGCGACTGCCATAGTGATGGTGGAAGTCGCGCGCGTCGCCGCAGTGAATTGGAGCTCCATAGGAACGCGCGGGGGAAAGCGCGGGGTGAGCGAGGGGCGAGGAAGGCGCAAAGACGGAGGGGAGGCAATGAAGCCGCGAGAAGTTGAGGAAGAGACGAGGCAAGCAATGGAGTTAAGCAGCAGATCAGTTCATCTTCCGAGGGAAGCTTGGCTGCCACTTTTCCTCTTCCAGTATGTCACGTGGTGTGTGCCGGCTGGCGGATGGAGTAGACTACTAGATGCATTTGCTGTTCATATGCTGTTCATCTTCCTGCGGGTATTCCCATCAAATAAATGAACATGCGACCCATGGTTCCTCCTCGGCTTGGATTATCTCATTCTCTTGGACTATACAACATCAGTGCATGCGTAGACTTTCCCCTACTTTACTGTCTTCCCTATATACATACACTCGCAACCTGGCTCTACTTCCACGACTACCTTACAGTAGATCACTCGTCGGCTTGTCATTCCTTATCAAGGGTCAATACCAAGCACTAAACAACCACCTTAAATTTTTAGACTCCCTTCTAGATCTCCGGTTCGGTCCCCAGGAATTATACTAGTACGTAGTATCACTTCCATCCGCTTCCACTAATTGCTGAACATCCCACCTTTTTGAAGAACACATAAAAAAAGAGATCATCAACAGTCTATGTACAAGAACGGCAGCTTTGTTATACACCAAGGACTTTGGTTAGTCCAGCCCGCTGAACCGTAGAGAAAATAGCAAAAGGTTTACAGAATTGAAAATGGGTGATGGCTGTCGGACCCACCCAGCGACTACTAAGCTACTATGGCGCCAGCCCTATCCGATCGAAGAACAAAGGCGCTCCCTCCATCACAATCCAGGCAATTCCTAATAAGCACAGTCAGCATCCACAACTCTCCAATTCGGCGCATTGGGATACACCCACCGGAATAGACAACAAGTTTCGTTACAACCTCCACATCATAGCGCACTCGGGGCCGTTTGATCTGCGAAAACACTTCCTTCTCGTCGGCTTCGATTTCCGACTCAAATGGAGGGAAGGGCACGGTCGAAGAAGCTTCTTGTGAGCTAACATCGACAGAAGTCGCCACACCAGGGGCACCTGTGCCCATCATATTCTCATACTCGTGCAATTTAGATGGCTTCCGCGACAGTTTCCGTGGCTCGGACTCCGAGGCCGGTCCACCTGCTTCCGGTACTGGGGATGGCTGGTTGGCCGTTGAAAGACTTTCCCGTCTCCGCTTCTCACGATATGCCAGGGTCTCATACGCGTCAGCCTCTGATTGCGGGCCGATCGAAATAGCGCGTCGTCGAGGATGCCGGATAGTGGTTATAATCGAAGGTATCTCCGAAAAGCCCGGTAGCACTTCGTGGTCCCGGAGCTGGGATGGAACTGTCGTGTATTGTCTGTTTGGCACATTACGTTAGCTGCGTTGCTCTTCGCGGAGAACTCTTCGTCTTCTCTTCTGTTCAAGGCCGCATGGTAAACTTACGAAGCGTTCCGGAAAAATCTCCGGGGAAGTATGAGGCCCAACTTTTCCAGGCCCCGGAAAACAGGAGGCAAAGCCCGAAGCAGAAAGGGCTTGGTAACAGCTCGCCACGTGAAGAGCATAAGGACACCAATGATGAGGCGGAGAGCCGTCTTGACCAGTCCTACACGCTGAAATTCGAATGGGACATTGGCCGGCACAGGTTCATCCCACATCAAGTTTGACCTAGCTATGTGCCAATAGGCCACTTGTGCTCCAAGCGTGACACCTGCAAAAGCCACACTGTCGTCGAAGCACGGGCAGTCATCGGCAGGCTCCGGGTGTATACGGACCAAACCCAAAATCAACAGAATCACTAGTGTAACCCCCCTTCCGGTAGCAGCAACGACATACTCATCGATGGTCGGACCAAACGTATACTGTAGGAAGGCGAGGAGGAACCCAAGTAAACATCCAATGACAACATCAAAAAACCCATGCATACCACAGTACAGACGACCCAGGACAATGGAACAGACGTAGAGGTATGTTATAGCTTGGAGGACGATATTGACCTGGGGGCTCAGGGTGGATTCAGGGGAGTTCAATAGCGCGAGAGCGTATGCCGCAACCGAGACCGCATTGGTGGAGTGAGTCGATGGGAATCCGTATTCCAACGCCGCAGAGCCGGACATCGTTATCCGTTGGAGAGGAGGGGATAGAGGCCGCGGGAGGCAAAGCAAGTCCTTGATGAAACCACTGAAAAACACGCCGGAGGCCAAAAGATGCACCATCCTGAGAGATTGAGAGTCGTCAGCTCAATTGCAGGCCAGATAATTGTTTTCCCTCTGTCTATGTCTAAAGGCTCGTCATGGCCACTTACCCGCGCCCCAAGCTCGTATACCCGCACCAGAACAAGATGGGCAGGAAAACCATGAAAAAGGTATGTGTGCCCAGATTGGCCGTGAAGGCAAAGTAGGAGTCTAGGGCCGGAGTGCGGACCCTCTCCTGGACCCAAGCCAGATACGGGGTCTCATATCGAATTAGGGGGAGGAGCTTCTGTCGTGGCCAATAACGCCAATAAGGGAGCTGGTTTCGATCTGATAGCGATTGAAGACAAGCCGCGGTTAGTCCACTAAAATCAATTGCGATTCGACAATCGACACCACGTACAATGATCGAGGCTTCTCAGCCCAGCGTCCGGTTGGCCATTCTTCCCATTGACCATGCTGTCGTTGTTGTTGTTGTTCAGATAAGGCAGCCGTTTCAATATAGCGTGATGGTGTGTTTGCGACAACCCCCCATAAGGTTCCCGACAGATAGCAGTCTCAGCACCCACAACGGGCTGGTAAGATCACTGATGACTGGCGTGGTTGGAGAGGAGACCCGAGCTTTTCGGGGAGGCCACTTTCTATCAGCGGGAAAAAAAGGAGAGCAGTAGATCGCGGTAGGCTAAGTCATGCTCATCCGGCGTTATCGCAGAAAAGGTCGTGTTCTTGGCGGCCGATGCGGCCGTGGTTTGTCCAACCACTCAACTCTCGACCCTCAAGCCTCCCCCGGCTGAGCTAAGGTTTTAGTCACCTAGACACGGCAGCGAAACGACTTATGATCGCCCTCGACAAAGTGATCTATCTAGAATCGGAACTACTTACAGCTGCCCACGGGGCTGTCATCTTCAAAGCTGCGAGGTTAATTAGAATAGTCTGGTTACTGAATGAGAATATGCTATATGAAATTCAGTGTATTTGCCAGTCCTCTGGTGGTTTTCTCAGTGGATGAGTGGTTTGAATATATATAATCATTAGAAAACACTGTTACCTTGTCTTAAAAGCATACTACATGGTACTTTTAAGGGGGCACTCTGCGAGAGGCTTAAGCACAATACTCCTTGAACGAAAATAGTAATGCAGTGCATGATACGGATACGCGGTCCTGTCGGGACGGTGTTTCTCATCGGCGCTTATGCAGTCATTCGACCGCAGATCAATCCAGTAATTTATATATAGTATGGAGTAAGTAGTGAACTATTACTCCTACTAAGCTGCGCTGTGGTGAACTTTCAGACCTAACACGGTCTTAATTGCTCATGATCGATGCGATGGTGAAGCCAATTTGTACTTTCAAGTACATAAGATACTAGTAGCTGGGGATTGTTAGAGAGCATTGACTATCAAAGCCGTGTCCCAGCACATACTATACGGACTGACACGTTTCCCTTCGTAGTGTACAATATCTGCAACTAACATCTAGAATTATGTTGTAGCCTAAGTAGACGATGTCCATAGTCATGAGGGACACTGGACTGAAGCGCTAGCCGTCAATTCTCCTATTGATGATAAAGGAATGAAGCAAAGCTGACAAGCGCAGCTTGGCATGGTCTAGAGCTAGACCGTTTATACGTCTAAACATCTTTCCATGTGGCTGAATATCTGTTTGTAAAGCTGCCAAATGAAACTGACAAGGATAGCGACGGCGTGGAATGAGCCCAGCCAGGATAGGAAGTTGCAGGCATCGGTGGCGGAGGCTAGAAGGCTGTCAGATCCGCCTTCATAGTGTACGAATGGTGAAATTTCTAGCTGATAGGCATACAATCAGCAGTAGCTGCCAGGAATTCGCTCTATACACCCGGAGACACGAACAACCTCGCCAACATACTTGAGTAAGCGGAGGCGTATCTACGGAGTACTGAACTACTAGTAGTAATGGGTAGTAAGAATCGACCACCAAATAATCCCTCATGACATCTAACTAGCCTTGTAGTGATTAACCTCGGCAGGAACAAGAATTAATTATTTTCTTTCGGGCCAAATCCAAGGCTGAACGTGACATCGGGAAAGATTACGTCAACCGGGGTTTCTCTTGTTTCTAGTTTCTAGTTAGTTACTACTCCGGATTGTTGGGTAAAAAGCGGCTTCAGGGACCTGGACCGTGGACGAAGACTTGTGTAGCACGGACCTGCAAGGGATCGCACCAGAAGGAAACCTTGATCAATGTTATCGATCACCGGGGGCCAACCCTGCCACTAAAGCCCCATTTTTATTCGAGGATCGGGAATGATTCCAAGGAGGACGGCGATAGAGTGGTGGTAACCCGGCTCGGGGGCCCGGCCATCGTCGAGGAATTCCTGGTGTGCAACTCAGGTAGGTAAACAACCAAGGAACCGAGTGAACATCCGGCTGAACCTACTAAAAATAACAGGCGCGGATGAGGCAGAAGACGAATGGAATCGATGGATATGCGTCCAGCTGAAGTTGCGTGGAGTGACAAGCGGAGCTCGTGCGTCATTTGTCCCGCGGCGTTGCCATGGCAGCCCATCGGCCGGTAAACATCGGTCTCTTACGGTTTCATGTCAGCCACGACGGCCTCGTTGTTGGAGCAGCCGTGGGAGGAGGAGGCTGGCTGGCTGGCTGGCTGGGCTCATCGTGGAGAAACTAGTAGGTGCATCTGAAGCCTGACATCCCTTTCTTCCTTCAGAACCTCTTCGTGCTGGTTTCGCGTCTTGTTTTTCTAATTCCACCAACCTCCTCTACCCCCCCCTCCTCCTCACATCCCAAATAACCACCACCCCCCCATTTACCTTTTGTACAGCAAGCCACTTTACTTCGACATTCCTAACAACGCAGGGGAATTGCTCAGTACACACCGACCCAGAAAACTTTCCGCTGTGCTTTTGACAAGACAGTGGATCGTTGAGCAGCAATTATTACGGAGCCGCACTTCCAGACCGACAATTCCCACCCCTTCCGGAACGGCTGTATAACTCACATTCCTCGAAATTCTCCTACTCCGCCATCATGTCAGGTACAATGTACGACGAGCACGTTTATGCACCCTCACGGCGCCATTCAGTTGCTACTCCTCCCCCATCCATGACTCCACGACATAGTCGGACCCGCAGTCAAAGTGTCAGAGTAAGCAACGGCACCGTGAGCACAAATACAAGCGTTTCGAGTGGGAGGATGTCGGAAGCTACAAACATTACACATCCGCCTGCGTATTCCAAGAAGTTTGTTGTGGTTGGCGATGGTGGATGTGGAAAGACGTGCCTTTTGATCAGTTATTCCCAAGGTTATTTCCCAGAGGTAGGTTCTGGTAACGCCCCGGTGAGGACTTTCCGCATCATCGCCAAACTAATTACCGTGCGTCCAGAAATATGTTCCTACTGTGTTCGAGAACTACATCACACAAACCACCCACCGAGCCTCGGGCAAGACGGTTGAACTAGCCCTCTGGGATACAGCTGGACAGGAAGAATATGACCGCCTGCGTCCACTGTCATATCCGGAGACGGACCTGTTATTTGTTTGCTTTGCGATAGATTGCCCTGCATCTTTGGAAAACGTTATGGACAAGGTAATTCCCAGCTATCCCGCGACGAGTTATGGGAGCTAATACCGGCTGCAGTGGTATCCTGAAGTCCTGCACTTTTGTCCCACTACCCCGCTCATTCTGGTTGGGTTGAAGTCAGATTTGCGCTCGAAGAGAACGTGTATCGAACTTCTAAAGACCCAGGGTCTAACGCCTGTGACACCGGAACAAGGTGAGGCGGTGGCGCGCAGGATGAATGCCTCTTACATTGAGTGTAGTAGCAAAGAAATGCGCGGCGTCGACGGCGTCTTCTCCCTGGCGGTCGATACCGTTGTCTCTGCGGAGGAGCAAGACTGGAATGACCGCCAGACGTCTTCTACTCCCGGAAGCAAACCTAAAGTCGGTGGTGGAGGCGGAGGAAAGAAGGTCAAAAAGCGTTCCTGCAAGATTCTGTAGACTTTGGTCTTCTTTTGATGTTTGTCTGGTCATGATCATCTGCCCTTTTGGTTTCGCCTATTCTTCCTCTTGCGATGTCTGTTTTTCTGCCATTCCTGTTATGCCGAGTGAGAAGCCTGGTTGCTTCGACGGTTTCCCCACGCTTTTTGTATGTGACATGACATGACATGACCAAGAGGCCATGAAGATGAAAGACACTGCCTGATGCAACTGTGTCTGCTACTTTGCCCTCTACCTACCCTTTCCACCTATACATGCCGGCGGCTTCTTGACTTTTGCTTCCTCCATGTTGCTATACCTGTTTCGACCCTGATGACTGTTTCCCTCAATTACCATTACTCTTATCATCATATCCTTCCCACCCCTTCGATTTGGCGATTGTTTTTTCTCACTGTGTCTGAATGCTTGATGTTGTCACGAATTTGGTCTGTTGGCCACTCTTTTGCCATGCATGGGATGGGTGTTTACTGGCGCAAGCGAAAATCCCGTGTACTTGAATTGTTGAACTTGTTTTGTTGCCAAACTCATAAACTCTGTTATTACCCCCATATGGTATCCGTACCCCAATATTTCCAATAGCAACCAGAGTAAAGCAAAAATAGGAAAAAGTAACAAAAATAAACAATACAGCAGTAGAAGTTACCAATAGAAAAACAAAGCAACTCCTCTACCATACGCCACCAATCACCCAATCTAATCCATACCCACATAAACAACCAGAACCTCAAACCTAGCCGCAGGCCCATTTATCCTCACCGATCACCGATGATCCTCCTGCAGCTGACTCCCCTCCTCATCATCCTGATGCTGCCCGCCTCCACCCCCACCACCAGCACCGCCAGCACCACCACCACCACCCTTCTGCTCCTCCCCAGGCCTAATGCCCATAAAGTTCTCGAACTGTGACCAAAGGGCTTCCACGGAGCCGAATTCATTTCCCACCTGCAAGATCACAAATCCATTAGCTTAGAGTAAAGTAAAACCAGAATAGAATAGAATAATAGAATTAACGGGATCTGATCTGATCCGATCTGATGTGATCGGCATGCGCGGAATGGATCGGAGGAAGAATAAGTGGGGAGGGGGGGTGTGGGCGAGTGATTATCCGCATATTTTTTTCTGTCTGAGTAAGGTAGGTAGGTAAGTATTGACTTACGGAAATAATACTCTCCAGGTTCCGGTTCAGCCGGTTGATGTTTTGGAGGACTTGTTCCATGCCCTGTTGACTATTTCGTTAGATTATCAGATGGGGATTGGGATTGGGGATTTGGTTTAGAGTAGTTTGCATGGAATGTATTGCATAGGGTCAGAGAATATCTAGGTGAGAAACTCACCACTGCAATCTCTCTAACTAATTCTGCTCGCTGCTGTTCGAAGACTGTTGGGCTAGAGGATCGGTTTTTGGGGATTGGTGTTGTTGACATTGTGGTGGTTGGTGTGTGGGCTGGGTTTTGTATTGGGTAGAAGATTCAATGACAGGAGTCAAAGAGACGGAGGGGTGCTTCTGTAATGTTAAGCGTCTGCTGGCTTTAATCTTCTCCCGCCCCTGTATGATATTGCTCGATAGCACGCGTGTTGATTGCTTTCGATTGTGATTGTCGGTTGTTGTTGGCTCGAGGCGGGGCGGTTCCTGTCCTCGGATTGCCTGATTCGGTTTGGTGGCGTTTATTTTGCCCACGCTCTGGTTCACCGCTTTGGTAGCCGCCTTATGGCTTATCGATAAGGGATTGATCTATAGTTGGGGAGCGCATTGATGATCCATTGGGCGACAGTTGGGAATTTGAGCAGTCCTAGATATATGATCAGGTAAGATTAACAAGTGTGGAATTTTGGCTTTGGGATGCCATTGTATTAGGATACTCATCGGACCTAATCTGCGACATGGAATAGAATTACCACTACAGCAGCATGTGATGCCATCTTGCGCGAGCATCCTAGTAGTAACGGCCAGACGTGGGTGTCTACTCTTCTGTTATTTACTACTCTCATCATAATATATATTCTAACTTGATACTGATAAATTATACTATAGGACAATTTGAATGTTCCACAGTTGACTCCCGAACTTCATCGATTTGACGTTCCTGTGACGTAACGCGTTGCCGAAGGTCTATTTAACATGGCAAGACCATCAGAATGCTATATCGAAGACAAATACAATCAACTATTTCAAGATGAAGGCAATTGGCGTGGAGAACTACGGTCCTATTGACCGTCTCGAAGCTCGGGAAGTCCCGAAGCCGACAGACCTTCAGCCTCGGGATCTTCTGGTTCGGTAGGATGGTTTAATATTTTTTTTTGATCAAATGTATAGTCGCTAAAAGCTATGACAGAATCAAAGGTGTTGCTGTGAACCCGGTGGATACGAAAGTACGGAATGGTACATATGATGATTATCCTGGTAAGGCCTAGACTACATCTGACATGGTCAACGTGGAGTACCAGCTGCTTAACGGCTCGACAGACTACTACGACCGCGTTCCTCGACCATTCCAGATCACCGGCTACGATGCTTCAGGCATTATCGAAGCCGTTGGATCACAATGCTCGATGTTCAGTGTTGGTGATGAGGTATACTACTCGGGAAGCCCTATCAGACAGGGATCAAATGCCGAGTATCAAGTAGTAGATGAGAGGAGTGTTGGTCACAAGCCGAAAAGACTCGATTTCGTGGAGTCGGCTGCCATGCCGTTGACGTATATCACAGCATATGAGGCTCTCGTCGAAAGACTGGAGATAAAAAAGGGCGAAAAAGCAGCTCTCCTCATTATTAACGGTGCCGGCGGCGTGGGTGCTATGGCTTCCCAGATTGCACGTGTTGTGTTGGATCTTCCTGTGGTCATCACAACAGCGTCACGCCCGGAGACAATCCAGTTTACGAAAGACATGGGTGCGACTCATGTCGTGAACCACAGAGAGGACGTTGTTGATCAGATTGAGGAACTCAACCTCGATGTACCTGTGAAGTAAGACATGTTTGTGATTGCGAAAGTCTAGAAGGATTGCTAACAACAGCCAAGGTATATCTTCATCACACACTCGACAGACCAGTACATGGATACATGTGCTCGTATTTGTGCGCCGTTTGGCAAGGTCTGCTCGATCGTCCAAGGTCAAGCTAAGATGTATGGAACGGAGTTCATGTCGAAGTCGTTGACGTTTGTCTGGTGTCTGCTTGGAACCAAGCCGTATCATAAGGTGGATGTCGAATCGCACCATCGCATACTGGAAGAGCTTACAGACTTGATTGATGCGAGCAAGATCAAGTGCCATCTCACGAAGCGATTGAGGTTGACGCTTGACGGTGTGAAAAAAGGACATGAGCTATTGCAGTCTGGTGGGAGTATAGGCAAAGTCGGATTAGGTGTAGATGAGCCTGGACCTGGAGAGATCTTCACATAGTGATGTGACGTGTAACTCCATTTAGCAGTCAAATACACAAAGATATGAAATACCGCAATACAAAAAAAAATATGGTCATCATTGTTCTCTTTATCTTCACCATATCACCGCCAATGATACCTATGTATGAAGATCCTCGGTCTTGCTTCATCCACTATCCACTGCGACCACCACATTCCAACAATCTACCTAGAGATGAGCAAAGAGAGACCTTAAAGTACCCCGGAATATCCAGAGCCAACCTCCGGTACGCACAGGTGTAACGAACAGGTGTTGACGGCCCTCGCGGTTTCACAAAATAATACCATGAGATCCCTAATCAACTGCATACGATCAAAGACCACAACATGCAAGTTAAATCCCTTAACAAGATGCATACAAAAGTCATAACATACACTAACCTACCAAGTTCAAAACACCCATCAGTTCAGACGACCATTATCTTGGAAAAGTCCCCCACTCCTTCCCCTCAACGCCTCCAAGACTTGCGCCTCTCGCCACTAAAACAGTGCACCTGTACCATCTATGCCAACATAGCCACAAATAACATACCCGACCCCAAACTACACTCCACGCATCCAGCCACAAACCAAGCGACCCGAGCAATCCAGATCTAAATCCAACGTGGAAGAAAACCCGCAATGGCACAGACGCAGACACGTATTACGTCTCATCAGACGTGTTCTGGTGCGTCGCCACAGAAGAAAAGCAAGTCAGCCAGTTACATATACTGACCCTGTGTAGGTACTTAACAGATTTCAGCTATAAAAAGATCCAGCAAGGGCAAGGCATGGTAGTTGTGCTTGCTAGCCAATGCCCAGGGTTCTCTTATCGCGCCACCATCTGTCAATCACCCCATACCCTCCGAGTCCCAATGAAAGGGTCCGGTATGTACATAGCGAGCAGGGGGAGATCTACATGGACACGTGTATTTCGCCGGAGACAGTGGTGGTGGATGGATGGACCCTGAGGGGTTAATGGATATGTGAGGGGGCTTGATGTGGCGAAGAAGAGACAGCGCAATTTAGTTTGGGGTCCTGGCCTTATGGAAGGGAGAAGACTTTCTTTGATCATGGTGGAGTTTCGAAGGACCCGAGCCAGGCTCCTCTGGCGGAATCATAGATAGTGCTTGATGTACGCGTGTGTGTGATGTTATAAGGGCTGCTAGGCAAGTAGATGAGTTAACGGTAAGACGCGATGACGAGGGACTGATCGCACGCCACACATAAGATAGAAAACGAGCCAACAGGTTAAGTTATAGCAGAACCAACTATACATCCTTACTATATTAAGAGCTCAAATGAATCAAGCTAATACTGGTATACGAGTGGATACCATCATCACACCCGAACCAGTTGCGTACCCGTGGAGAGAAAACAAGTTCAGACCCACAATCATAGATAGCATCATAAAACTAATTGCTCTGCCTGACTAGTCATTTTACCCCAACAGACTAGCTAAATAGTCTTCTAGAATACAAACACTGACTAGCAGCCTCTTTGCCATAGCATAGTAAACTACCCCCACTCATCATGCTATGACAATCGAGTCAACACATCCATCCAACTACCAGCTAGCCAGCTAACTAGCTACTAGCTAGTGAGTTTACGCCATCACTTGCGTAAGCACTCAATTCTGAGCAAGATAACCAATCAAGATGATTACCACCACGTAGACAGTGCACTGCACTTCTCAGTGGGTGATGGTTGTCAGAAAAATGACCGGAGTGTGGAGGCCACTAATCATTAGTAGTTCCAGTGGATGGAGCGATGATGTCAATGCACTGAGCTAGCTGGTTAGCTAGGTAGGTAGGGCTTCAGGCATCAAGGTTCTAGTGCAAAATTTGGTAGTCATCACGGATGATAGCAATTCCGTGCGATCATAGATCTGATTGAGGATGACGACGGTGGTAGTGGTCATTGGGTATCGATAAAGAAGTTGTGACAATAGATGTCATGGGGATTTATGAGCGACAGTTCTAGAAGAGCTTTCGGGTATGAGACCTGGGGAGTGTAAAAGAGGAAGTAAGGATAGAAAATAATCTCAAATCCAGATCCTTTCAAATTGATTCTGCCTACTCCGTCGCTAAAGGACGAATAAAATAAACCCAACCAATTCAGTCCAGGCCAGCCCAACTCAATCATATGTTTGTAACTCTTTATCCGGATCTATCGAACTCCCGAGTCATGTCCGTGTCTTCGTATCGTTTCGTCTTGGCTTTTATCGCTTCTTTGTGTATATATCGTATCGTAGCGTAGCGTATCATCTGCGTAACTGACGGTCGCCAGGACCGTGAAATTTTGTGGCATAGAGTGGAGGAATGAGAGGAGAGGAGGAAAAGATGAAGTGTATCATGCTGAGCCTCTTCTGGCTGGGACGAGGATGGTGCTGAGTCGCTTCCAGCGCTGTGTGGGTGAAGTGGGTGAATCGCGATCTAGACGGTTGTCTAGACTCGGCTTAGAAGAGGATTGAGTGGAGGATCGGGGCCTAGTGACAAGCGCTTCATGGTCGGCTAGGACATCCTCGAGCCGGACATCGCAATCAGACATGCGCGGCCGAGTATCATTGGGGTCGAGAATCTCGATGAATTTGGACGACATATCGCGCATCTTTCGATTGGAGAATGACTTGGTAGAGGGAAGCTGGTGGTGTGCGTTGATTCTTTTTTGTTGGGCGGAATGCGGCTTTAACGTTTTCTTTTTTTTGTCTCCTTCGCGGCGGCGACGATCACGAGGGTGATTGGGGAACTTTGTTGGTGAAATAGTCGGCGGTGGAAAAAGTAAACCCAACCGGGTCGGAGAAGTAGGTTCGTGATGGAAGTTAAGGGAATAACTAGGAGCACTGTCCACCGTGAAGCGAAGAAGATCCGGATAACCGCTGGCGGATATATCTTCCGTGCGGACAGAGAGTGGACAGGGAGTTGGAGATGAGCAGAGGGGTAAACGACTGGAACATGAAGGACAAAGGAGGAGAAGGACGAGAACGAAGATGAAAAAGGCACAGACAGTGCAGTAGCGGGTGATGCCGATTCGCTGAGCACGGTTTCAAGTATGCGCCAGGCAGGGATGTTCGAGCGGTCTTCTGCGTCAGAGCGGATGAGCTGACAGAGAATGGCCCTGAAAGAAATATTCTCGTTGTTGGAGAGGGATCTAGGCGCCGTTGACGTCCGGGGAAGATGGGTAGTATTTATTAT